AATCAATCCTCCCTCAGAGCAACCCTACAGAACAGAAGAGAGCTGCCCCTGTGAGTTTCTGAGACTCACTGTTTCTGGGAGTAGAAAGCCTTGCTTTTCTGCTGAAGAGCCACTGGTGGCTTTGAACCGCTGATCTTGTAGTTCAAATATGTAACCACTATGCCACCAGGGTTCCTATAATGCTAAAGACAAACCTTTTTTCACTAGTTAAGCTAAACTATTGTTTGGTTTAAAGATGGCTTCAGGGGAGATCTGTGGTTTAAGGTTCAAAGATTATTTCGGGGCAATGGTTGCAGGGCTTCATCTACCTTTTAAGGCTCCAGAGAGTCTAGAGGCAATGAGAATTTGAAATTCAGTTTTGATCAGGAGTCTTCAAGACTTCCTGGCTAACTATTATCCCATTGCATGTATGTACCACATTTTGTTTATCTATTCATGTGTTAGTAGACATTTAGGTTATTTCCACTTATTGGCTATTATTTGGCTATATTGGTATACACATCTCTGGGTATCTGCTTTTGAATCTTTTGGGTGTATGCTGAGGAGTGGAATTGCTGGGTCATAGGGCATTTTTCACTGTTCACCTGTCAGATTGTGGTAGCTTGCATGTTTCTGCGATTGATGTTCACTTGTTTCTGTCAAGAAGTTTGGAAGACAGGTACCTGGCCAACTGACAGTAAAAGAGCCACATTCATGTGCCTATTCCCAAGTAACATGATCCAACAGAATGTGAAATTGATTAAATAATACCATTAATATCATACTCAAGTAAAATTTTGGCAAAGATAACTTAAAAAATGGTCACAGCACCACATTCATAAAGAACTGCCGGCAACACGAGCCAGCTCTAGAAGAGCATATGGAAGTAGGAATACCATCGCTGATATCATGTGAAACTTGGCTGAAAGCAGAGTATAGTAGCAGGATTCATGTGTTTCAATGATTATGCAAAGTCATTTAACTGTGTGGATTATAACATGGAAGAACGAGAATTTCAGAACACTTAATTGTGCTCATATGCCTGAACATAGAGCAAGAAGTGATCGTTTAACCAGAACAAGGGGTACCATGTGGCTTAAAATCAGGACAGGTATGCATTGGAGTTGTATCCTTTCAGCATGCTTATTTAATTTGTGTGCTAAGAAAATAATTCGAGAAGCTGGACCATATGAAGGACATAATATCAGGATTGGAGGAAGACTCATTAACAATTTGAGATATGCATAGGACATACCTTGCTTACTGAAAGCAAAGAAGACTCGGAGCACTTCTTAATGAAGATCGAGACTACAGGCTCTGTTATAGATTGCAACACAGCACAAAGAAAACAAAAACCCTCACAACTGAATCAATAAGCAATATCACAATAAACAGAGAAAAATGTTGTCCAGGATTTCATTTTACTTGGCTCCTCCATCAGTACCCATGGAGGTAGCAGTCAGGAAATCAACGGACTGCATTGGGTAAATTGGCTGCAAAAGATCTCTTTAAGTGCCAAAAAGCAGAGATATTGCTTTGAAGACTAAGGTGTGTCTGCTCCAAGCTATGGTATTTTCAATGACCTCCTAGGTAAATGAACCCTGGGCAATGAATAAGGACAACTACAGAAGAATGGTTGCCTTTGAATGATCACATTAGCCTTGAAGTAGTAGCATACTTATCAATAAGATATGCTAAAACATTTTAATTAGATGTTTTTATGATCTTTACTTGAAGATTACTAACCATCAGGTAACAATGCACAAGCCTTATTGTGTCTCAAACATTGTAGGAGTATCCTTTGTTATATGTTAAGCACAGAGTGGAGAAAATATCTGCTCTGAATAGAATTCCACATGTAGAATGTGTCCATTCTGTGTCCATGTCAATGCCATATCTACTGCTGGAGTGTGGTGAGGAGGCCAGTACTGGTGTCCATCTCTCTGTCTGTCTCTCTCTCTCTTTGTTTTCTTTCAGTTTTATCTTCTGGTCTGTGTTTTGGCATGGAAGACTTATTTAGGGTCAAAAGAGAAAGATTTCTATAAACACTCAGAATGGATAGAACAGTATTTCCTCCTCAATCTCACACAACTTGTAACTATATGAAAGGATCCGTTTTTATTTCATTGGATCTGTTTTGGAAATATCTATACCTTTTACATTCATTAAGAAATATGTATATGTTCATGTGCACATGTGCATGCACTGCTTGTTTTCAAAAATGACAAGAGGATTTTCTGTAATACTGATGTATTATTATTATTATTCTGACAGTTCGGAATTTGTTTTCTGTTTCTTTCCAAAATCCAGTTTTGATCCAAACCCTTTGCAGAGACACACGTTCTGGACAATTATTATAGGAGGGACCTTCACGTGGACCAGCATCTATGGTGTCAACCAATCCCAGGTGCAGAGATATATTTCCTGCAAAAATAGATTCCAGGCAAAAATGTAAGCCAAATTATGGTGTGAATCATTGATAACCATCAGCTGTCTTAATGGAAATGTAGGCAAGTCCAATGCAAGTTTTGTCTTTTGTGTTATGAAATTCAAAGAGATAGGTGATATACTCAGTCACAAGAGGTTCAAGCTGAGTAAAGGGGTACTGTACTATATGTTTGGGACCAGATATTTCCAAACCATTTCTAATAATTATTAGGTAAAAATGCATTTTCCAATAAATAACATGCATTGTGCATCCACTTGTTTAAGTCCCTGTCACCTAGTATACACGGGGTTCTCCAGGAAGCAGGCTTTGCGGTGGAGGCTGGCAGGCAGGCGTTTATTAGGGAATCAGACCTAGGGAGGAGGAGGGAAGGGAAAGAAGCAAGACAGAGCAGAGCCACCCAGTTGCAACAAAGGCCTCAGCTCGCCTCTTCAGGCAGCTCTGCAGCTGTGATTGAATATTCTGACACTTCTCAACTTGGGGTCAGAGGGCTTTATCATCTTGCGTTCTCTAGTCATGGGTCGGGAGGCATGGCCTGAGGAGCACTGTTTCTCACCAGCTGAGTGTGGCTCATCACAATATCCAAAGAGGGGGAAAAAGGGTAGTTACTTGAGTGAACGAAATGGTCTCTACTCAACTGAGTGTTAAGACCTGGCATTCAATGCTATGAACACTAGCAACATGAATAAGCCTGACAACTCATGTCTATGGCATCCCGATATTTGCTTCCATTGAGCCTCTGTCGCCAGGAGTCACGGGCCAACTTGATGGCAGCTCACCCAACATTACGTACAAGTTCTGTACGATTTCATTTAATCTTATCATTCGAATAGGTAGCCATTGTCATCTTCAGGTGTAAACGAAGAAACTGAGGATCCGAGAGGCTAACCTACTTTCCTAAGGCTACACAGGGCAGAGCCAGGTATTAGTTCTGATTCCAGTGGCTTCATGAACCTTTGTACTGTATTGGAGCGCATTGTGTATGACAACACAGGACATTGAGAAGATTCCTGTCTGTGGCACATGTTTGCTTTTCCTATCTAATGCATAGACTTCTAAAGCGTGTGTGCAGCAAGTTCCTTGAGCTGTTCTGTAGATTCTAACAAGATTCAGCAGTTTATCATCGCATTACCTTTCAAAGGAAGATAACTGATAGCTACTGCTCAGACTACTAAAACCCTAGCTTCCTGATGAGAAGACTCAATTAATGAAAGCTAACAACACCCTTGGAGCCCTTGCCAGAAGGATTCTCTCATTCAGTGGGACAACTCCATCTATTCCAAATTGGCAGAAGATTAGACTAGAATAGAGTTTGTGGTGATTTGGTTGTTGAGAGATAATGCACATTTATTTAATGTGCATAGAAGTATAATCTTGATCTCTTTGATTATAGATTATAGAAGTATAATCTTGATCTCTTGAACAAAGATCTCTTTGTTCGTATAACTCTTTCCCGAATCTTTGGAGTAAAGATTACAGCTGCTGGTGTAATTTTTATCTCCGTAGGTCTCTGTACATCAACCTCGTGGGGCTCTGGGCCATCCTCATCTGCTCAGTGTTTTGTGGGCTCGCCCTGTATTCCCGGTACCATGACTGTGATCCTTGGACAGCTAAGAAAGTGTCTGCACCAGACCAGGTTCAGTACCCTGTCTCTCCTACGGGTGCATGCCAGGCACGCAAGAAGTCCTTAGCAGGAATGAAGGGGTCCCTGGGAGGTGCCAGTGATTTCTGCCCAACCTCTAATCTAAGGGCTGGCAGTTCAAACCCACTCAGCAGCCCTGCAGAAACTGTCCGGGCAGTCTGCTTTGGAAAAGATGATGGCCAAGAAAACCCTCGGCAGCAGTTCTGATCTGTAGCACTTGGCCCAAGGTCATCCCGAGTCACCATCAACTTGAGGGCTACCAGCTTGGGTTAGCAGGACTAAAGAATTCTGTGCTAAACAAATGAAGATATGTTGAAATACCTAGAAAATTCTCAAGCCAGGTGTCTGTGTCAATACAGTTACAAGAACAATGAACTGTGGACAAACCAGGAAATTAGAGAACACATTATTACTGTGGTTAGATGGCTTATGTTTACCTTCCCAATGGCTTAAAAGTGATGGGGAGACCGATCTAATATGTGGACATTTATTGAGACCCAATGGTGTGATTGCATGGGAAGCCTTGCGTGCTTTATATCCTCACCCTGTATTTCTCCTTTTAATGATGACAACAGGAGGCTCAGGAAGGGTCTATAAGTTGCCCTAAGTCACAGAGCAAATAAATGTGGACACTTGCTAACA